CTGCAATGATCTGTCATTAGTCCCGTCCCTTACAGTAACCCTCCTTCGCATCGCAATCAAATAAATCTCACTCCCTGCTATTTTGTGCTGTCATAATCTATTAAAACATTTATTTCATATTATTATACACAATCCCTTACGAAAATTAGCAATAGTGTTACTATAGTAAAATATAGGCTAACTGTTGCGAAGCATCAGCAGAGTCCAGATCCATTTGCAGCTTTTATTGAGTAAACAGACAAGACAGGGTCAATCACCAGTAGATACAATAGCGGAGGCTAGGCTGAGACAAAACGAGGGACAGGCAGGTGGTCGGGGCAAGCGGCAGACAATCACAGCAGAAGAACAATCCAAGTCAGGGCAGGCAGAGATAAATCAGTAAACGATAAACAGTCCAAGGTCAAACGAGTAGGCAAGATACAGGGTAAACGCTCAGAAGTGACAGCCGGGGCAAATCAAGACTTCGCAGAGAGCTGATGTGAGTGTCCGGCTTAAATGTGTGAGTGTAATTAGATGCAGGTGTGTGCGTGCAATCAGTCCCAGGTATGAGGCATGATGGGAACTAGAGTCCGAATGGATAAAGTCAATATTCAGGAGAGAGTTCCCTCTGGTGGTGAGGAAGAGGCAGTACGGGAGCCGCCTCTGTAACACTAACCATGTTTTGTTTTGTTTTTTGCGTTTTTATTATGGTTAGTGTAGCAAAACATGTTGTTTTTACCATGGTTTAACTATAGTAACCAATAACCATGTTTTTTGGTATTTTATATACATATTTTAATGTTATCTTTATTTTAAGGCATGTATTTGTGAAAATGATTCGGCAGCCGCAGCACACACCACATAGAATAACGCTGCGCATTTCAAGGCACTTCAGTGGACCTTAATGTTACCTGTTTTGCCTGTTTTACTATAGGCTTTTAGTAGTGTAGTAGCCTAAGCTGTCTCTTGCTCAATTAGGTACGTTAACAAAAAAATGTCGGGAAACGACACCTCTGGCCATTCCGTTGGGTCATTTGTCCAGTCACAGATACCGTACGGACAGTCCGACCCAATACGGCTCAGTTTTTATGCGTATGTTGCTCTGCCGAGCGGCAGAAATAATTTTATGTAGGCCATTCTGAGTCAACACCAGGGGGAAAGGACTGTTTTCCCACACGCCGACTCCGCCCACACAGCTATGACGCGACACAGATCAAGTCAATAAGGTAAACTCATATTATGATTATTCCATGTAAACACCACATTTTGAATAAGACGTGAAGACACGTTTTTAATTAAAATATTCATATTAATCAAGGCTTTATTGACTTTTAATGCACCTTATTTCGAAATGTACAGAAATACGTGCTTTCATATGTCCTTTAGTTATGATTATTTCATTTATTCACTATACTATTTATTATTAATGTCTCATTTTAGTTTGGGTCTAGTTTTGTAATTTATTCCAGTTTATATGAAAAGGTTCATGTAGCGTGGATTAAAATTCATATACAGAGTAAATCCTTTTCACTGAACACGTTAAAAATACATTTGAAAAAGTTGTCAGAAGCGTGGTGGTGATTATGTCGAAGGCGAGCGACCACGGTGCTGTAGTTCGTCTATAGCCTAGCTTTTAGCTTAGCTTTTAAGTTCTTACGCTTTTATTTAGGCTTCAAAATTAATCAAAGTTATATTATTTTGTGAAGATTATCTTGATGGACAAAACGTGTAAGTTTCATGAACTATGGTTGAACACAGAGCTTATTTTTTGCGATAATCCAAAAGCCTATGGAAAAATCCTATAGGCTTTTTGTCGAGGGAACCAGTGTCATGCTAACAGCCGATCCGCCTACAAAGTGACGTCATAGATCCCCCACTCTATTACTCACTCATCAAAATGTTTCTGTGTGGTTGATCTATAATCTGAAACTATATTGCATTTTTTAAAATCCCCTATGTTGATCCCACGCGTTATGAATGATTCACTGCTCAAATATTTCTAGTGAATATGTACTTAAACAATTTATAATTTTCATGACTACATAAAGGGAGATACATTTGACTGCCAAACAGGTGAGAGGATTGTTAAAGCTTGAGCTGTATTTGTGGTCACAAATATGTAAGCATTATCACACGACAAAATCTTTCATGTAACTTCCTTATAACTGATACGGCTGGTGTGTTTCCTGTTTTTCGGTTTTCTGTAAATGACTGTTAGTTCTATAGAAAAAGGTGTGGCACTGAAAACCCCCTCAACAGCAACAGTTTTAACAGTTTTAATAAAAAAAAAAAAACGTATAATTTTATTAGTTATTCAGCTGGCTGATGATTCTTAAATTTAGGCTGTGTTAAAATACATACAACATACAATATGTTATTTATATATGTAAATATACATCCTCTTGACTACCCCTAACTTTTCACAGATTTAGGAGCTGGTTTTTATCAATAAAAAGCTTTCTGAAATATCTTAGAGCAAATATTTAGGAGTCTGGAGAGTTAAGTCTGCCAATATGTTAACACGTGAAAAAATATACTTACAACCCAATCCTTTTTAACATAGATGTAGTTCACTAACTGTGATTTTGTGACTGGATTAGCTAAGCTCATTGGTTGGTCAACTTGGTTAGCTATTTATCATGTTAACTTGGTTATCAATGTGCATAATAAAACAAAGCTACGTTAGCAAATTTATCCAAAAACCTGTTTACATTCAAGAGAAAGATAGGAAACCAGTGGTAACTTCACAAAGTTAAATTAATGTGCAATTTGTTGCAAACAACTAAATGGCTTATTACCGTATTGGCCCGAATATAAGACGACCGCGTTTTTTAGATGTATTTCCAAGAAAAAAACATCGTCTTATATTCGGGACAATACGGTAATTGAATAATGCACGTAGTATGTTTTACAAGTAAATACAGTTTCAGTCTTTCTGCTTCAAAATTTCACGTTTACTTCAATGTGTTACTTATGGAAGCCTGTTTCTGCCACGAGATAATAATAATAATAATAATAATAATAAAGGTAAGTGCAACTTTTTATCTCAAAATTCTGAACTTTTTCTGGCAGATGTAAGTTTATTTCTCACAATTCTTACTTTTATCTTGCTAAATTTACTATAAATAAAATAAAGTTTCTACACCAGATTTGCTTTCAGTGTACCTCTTCCATCAAATGTAAATGGAACAATAAATGTTGAACATGCCCATCCGCCACTGGCTCAAAGAAATGAGAACAGAAGCAGTTGACGTTATGTTTCACAATTGTTTTCACAGACTCGAGATGCCAACTACAGAGGACAGCGAGAATTAGCAGAGAGGAACTCCAAAACAGCGCTCATGCTGAATCATATCGGCCTTGGGATTGGCCTTGTTGTTATTGTATTGATTATTATCATCCAGATGACGAAATGAAGATAAAAGTTGGAGCTGACATGGCTGGATGAAGATTACAAACAGATTTGTTTTTCTTTATTTTAAATGTTACTTGCTCAATTTATCATTATTCTTATGCTTTAAGGCTGATTATTCTATGTTTAAACCAATGAAAGCTACCATGCAGTTTTCTGTTCTCTTTACTTCTAAAATGTTTTGTTTAGACTTTTTGCTTATATTAAATATCTTGTGTGCAGCTGTGCTCATTTTTTTCAGTGATCAACCAACTTAAACAGAAATTAAAGTGTTAGTCATATACTCAAATCAGAAAGCGCAAACACAATTTTTTTTTTATCAATGATAAAGGTGTTTCTCAATTAATGAAAGTACTTTTATTTAAAGCACATGTAAAGTTGTGAGTATACACTGAAAAAAATTACTTGTAGGATTTACCTGATAACATTTTCGTAACAATTTCAACACATTTTAAGTAAATTTTACTGCTACTACTCTGTACACTCTACTTACTATTGAACTTAACATTCATAAAGAAATTAAGTAAATATTACATAATTATATTTAATTTCACATATCGAATTAAGTAAAATCTACTTACCTAAGTAAGTTTAACAAAGAAAATAAGCAACTTTAACTGAAAAGTTTAGTAATTTTTTCTAGTCAAAGCTTACAAAGCTCACCTAATTAAACCATGCTTTTAATGTGCATGTTTTACTCAGAAACATCTAAGTAAATATTACAGTAAATATCATATAAACACCACATTTATAGAATTAGTAATGCGACACTCATCCGAAAACAGAAACTGCAGTACTTGGTAAACCAGGGGTGTCCAAACTCGGTCCTGGAGGGCCGGTGTCCTGAAGAGTTTAGTTCCAACCCCAATTAAACACACCTGAACCAGCTAATCAAGCTCTTACTAGGCATACTAGAAATTTAAAGGCAGGTGTGTTGAGGCAAGTTGAAGCTAAACTCTGCAGGACACCGGCCCTCCAGGACCGAGTTTGGACACCCCTGTGGTAAACAATACACAATGTTGGTAACATTCTGTGGTTCATTTTTGAGAATGTGTCATTTTGAGTTGAATATGAACTCCGCAAGTTACTAAACCTAACAGCAAAAGCAATGACAAAACAGTGTAAATCAGCCGGAAAACAGCAAAAAATCAACCTTATTAATTATTCATGCCCCAGTGCACGATGGGAACACCAGTATCAGAAAAGTTGAGTAGGTTTTACTTAATTAATAAAGAATTTACTTTTTTTTTTAATTGCCTGAACTAACTTTTTCATGTAGAAATTAAATTTGTTTTTCTGTAGTATTTACTTCACCACAGAATCATTTTTATCAGTGTAGCATGGACTGCTGACAGAAAGAAAAAAAATTTTTATATGATGGCTAGAATCCATTTTTCTGAATAAGACAACAATTCGCTACATTTCTACAGTAATAACATATTGAAATACATTGCAAATCTAAAAAATAAAATACTTTCTAAACAATTAGATGTAGATGTAGTTTTGAAAGAGTTACCTATTTTGAGAGATGTTTCCCAGCGATTGTAAATAAAAACTGTAATTGGAAAGAAGGAAGATCCCCCCCCAAAAGACACGCTTAGGAATCATGAAATCATCCCCATCTGTGTCCTGATATTTCATCATGTTACATGTTGATTCCACCAGGTGGCGCCTATTAGTCACCTTAATAGTAAGGTGATGCAAATGCAACAGATTAATCTTCACCTGAGTACACACCAGAGATAGACACTGTTCAGTGGTGCAAGAAAACCACATCGTGACCAAGAGAAACATGGATTCCAAAAAGTTCAGCAACAGGGCTGCCTTTGCTTCCACTGCAGCAGGACCCTCCGGAGTACTCCGATGTTGGATTCCCCTCCCTCTCACAGCTATCCCAGCACTTCCCAGCAATACAGAACTCCGCTGGCATCTAATATATATATTAGGGGTGTAACCGTAGGCTACACGTATTCGTACCCAAAATTTTCGGTTCGGTACGCGTGTGTACCAAACAAATACAGTGTTGTTTTAACCACTGCAGGAGAGGAACTTCATTGGAAACTTCCAGTTTTATATATTGTTACTTTTGATAAGAAACAAAGTCTCATCTTTCAAATTATGCCATTTGTTACAGGAAATTCAAACAATAAATGCCGTTCCCTTTCATGGGAACTTCGAACTGTGTCCTCTAGGGGTCGCTATGGGGAACGCCTCGTCGTGACCCGTGTCTGAAGCATACATTGAAAAAACACCAACTCGTTGGCCGGCGACAGCCATGACATCACTACCGGTGCGACTATAGTATAAATAGGCGCCGGGAGCACACATCATTCACTTCTTCGTCTTCGTTCGTTTTGTTTGAAGAGTGCATTTCTGTGGTAAGAGCGATCTCTATTCATCTCATTATGGCGAGCACTAGCAAAGCGTTTAAGGATGTGTGCATCCATGTTGACGTTGTTTAACATCTGATGACACACACGATCTATGCGTTATTTGTTTGGGCGAAGAGCACGCACGCGATGCCTCCGAGGGGGCAATCGGCGTGCACTGCGAGCGTTTTTATTTCCAAGGGAAAAGCTCCGCTCTCGTTTGTCTCTCTTTTCGAGGAAAGAGGCGCAGCCATCTGCTTCCCGCGATTCAGGACCCGCCGCAGCTGAGGCACGGAAGGGAATGAGCTCGTGGGGATCGCAGGTGGATCTGGCCAATGAGTGGGCTCTGTTGTTAACTGTAACCTTATGCCTAATGTAAAAGGGCTCACTATAGTTTAGATCATAAGCTGAGGTAGATTTTTATCCCTAAGAAAATTTTAATTATAACTGAATTTATTTAAAGAAAGAGCAATTTGTTCCGTAAACCACTGTTTGATATAAAATAAATAAATAATGTTTAGTTTGTTCCCCTGCTGTAACCATGACATCAAAACCGAGGTACGTACCGAACCGTCATGTTTG